ACGTTTTAATTGGTGTGCCGGGAGATACTGACATGTGGAGTTTACAACATTCTTCATTTCGCAGCGGATGACTTTTTAGGCGGTGGAATAAGTTTGTACTGTTACCTTTTTTGCCGCACATCATAAAAACGAGCGCTTTAGTTCGACGTCCTTTGCCTGAAATCCAAACCGCTCCCATATATTGCTCAGCTGAAACACCTGCTGCCGCTAGTGATCGGCTATTGAGACATCTTGAAGCGTTTCGACTCATCGCTAAACTGTATTGATGCTGCGTTGATACTGTCTTGCAGAATACTGACACCTGCTGGACCTTTAAGGACACTACAGGCAGTTTATTAGATTACTAAACAGAATTAATTTTATGACCTAGTACATGGATTATTGAAGTTATTGTAGATTATATTGTATTATTTAATATCTATTTTTAAATAAAAAATATATTTGCTATTTATATGCAGCTAATAAATAACGTAAACATATAGTATGACGTGAAAATTTAGAGTAAAATGTGAATGAGGATCTTTGTAGACTAGGATTCTAAAACATTCTTAAAATGATAAGTACAGTAAAAACAGTAAATAAAGTAAGAGTCAGTTTGAAATGAACTTGAATTCGGATAAGTTGAGTGATAACTGAGAGGAAAGGGATGATGCAACGAGAAAAAAACGTCCCTATTCCTTTTAGGCTGCTCCAAAATTCTTTATTATCTTAATGGTAAACCACAAAAGATGAGACATTTCTTTTTAGCAGATGCATCATGTTGACTGATACGTTTTCAAACACCGTTTTGTGTCAATCCCTTAGAAACGCCATATTTCGTTTGCCGGTTGCTGTAGTGTGTGTGCGACGCAGAAAATAATCCTGTTTGGAGAAAGGGTTTATGATATAACCAAAGTGTCTGGAGAAAAATAAAGCTCTCAGTGAAATAGATGCTGATGGCTGTTGAATGAGGAAGTTATGTCCCCTTGAAGGTAGTTGCGCCTTGGAACTTCTTCCGGTTCTTTTCCTGGGAGCAAGTTATTTACTAAAAAAGGACTATAAAACAGGAGTAAAAAAGAAACAGAGTTTATTCCAGATCAGGTCGTTACAGAACAGAGAAAATGCTTGGAGCTTGCACAGCTGTGGGCTCAAAAATCACGTCCGCAAGCGTCCAGCAAAGATTGAGCCCCAAACAAGGTCATCTCCTGCTTCTTATACCTCATGAGTCTATGTGTTGCACCAGGTGGATGCTTTGCTGTCTGTATCAGAAACTGACAAACATCCATGACCTGATGTATATGCGTCTTGCCTCTATGCCCAAGGATTACAGATAGCTCTCCTCTATCAGACCGGCTCAAAGATGTGCCCATATCCTGTGTATCTTTAAAAGACAAGAAGGCTTTCCTATTTAGATTACCTCCGTACACACAGTGACATCCACCATGTGAAGGAAGGCCTTCTACTCTGTGTAATCTGGCTAACAAAGTAACAATACACATAATATATAAAAAGTATAAACCTAACAGGCTTAATGTCATCATGTGAATTTGGACTTGATGGTTTCTATAGCCATTTTAACCATTGTGCATGGGAAACTTTGAGATACATTGAGTATATTAGATATGTCGCCCACCCCTACATCCAAGGTCTCTATGGTTTATGGGCTGCTCTCTGAGGAGGCTTTAGTTGGACTCAGATGCTGCTTTGGGTCCCATCCACTGCCTGTCCACAGCCTGTTCACCACCTTTCCGCCGCCTGTCCACAGCCTGTTCACCACCTT